CCCCCGCGCCGCCGCACCCCCTCCCCGCTGCCCCGATGCTCCGCACGGCCCGCGGGCGCGCAAAGCAGCCTGGGACTTGTAGTCCCGCCCCGCCCCCGCCCGGCTCCGGCCCCGGCCCCCCCAGCACCACAGACGGGAGGTCCTGGGCCGGTCACCTCACCCTTGCGCCTCAGCTGCCTTCTTGTAACTTGAGGTTCAAAATCCCCACCCTGCAGTAATGAAAGGAATAGTCTATTTCTTTATAGGGGCGTGGACTGGTCGGGAACACACATTTCTCAAAACTCGTCGGACTGTCCACTTAAAACAATGCATTTCACTGTATGTAAATTATGCTTCAAAATAAAGCTTTAATTTTGAGTCTCTGCCAGATTCACAACCAATATTGTAAAACTGAGGGAAGCTGAGAGCACTTCTAGCCTGGCTCTGAGTGGGTGCTTAGTAAATATTTGTAGAATGCATGAATGAAAGCCAAAATGATTCCCGCCTCTCCAGACTTCAGTTCGTTCACTGAATTCAACAAATGTTTATTGAGTGCCTTCTTTGTGCCGGGTAGACGGTTCCAGACACTGGAGAAACAGCAGCGAGCAAGTCAATCATTTCCCTGCCCTCATGGAGATGATATTCTAGTGAGGGAAAGAGAATCCACAAATAAGCAGATAAATATATGTTGTATAAGTGCTATGGTGAAATTTAAATCATAATTACCACTTACAATAACATTTCTTATTTACCAGTGTTTTATATGTTAACTCATCTGATCTCTCATAAGAACCTCAAGAGCCAAATACTATTATTACGATCAGATCAGGGTGGACAGAGCACAAGGGTAGCAAGCTATTTTGCATATGGTGGTCAGAGAAGGCCTCTCTGAGGGGGCACGTTGAGCAGATACCTGGATGACATGAGGGAACCAGCTATGCAAAGATCTAGGGGAAAGCATTCCAAGCAGAGTGAACAATGAGTACAAAGGCTCATATTATCTAAAGGAAAAAGGAAAATTATACGTATGTTTGTGAGAGGGCCAAGACAAAATAAACAAGCATCCTGCCTTCATGGTTTTGCATGTTTTTACATGCTAAAAGGCACAGGTAGAAAACCAAACTTTCTAAGATGGACAGGGAAACCAAATTTGACTGCCTGCTTGGAAGCAGACAGGTTGAAAGAGCAAATTCCGAGGCCTCACCCAACCATTGCAGGCCCCACGTTAGCTGCCACGTAAACACCCCTTTCCTGAGGCCTCATGAGAGATCTGGCTGGGGTGACTGCAACGAGGGTGCCTCCCACCTGGTTGCCTTTGGCTCTCTTTGAGCACAGTACAGCATACAGTAAAGGAGGGATTCTGCAGCAAGACTCTTGGTATTTGTCTCCCAGCTCTGCCACTTATCAGCCGTGTGACCTTGGGAAAGTTGTTGAACCTCTTTGAGCCTCAGTCTCTTCATTTATAACATGGGGATTTTATAAGTAGCTACCTCATATTATTGTTATTGTAAGAATTACTTAAGAAATGCATGTGAAAGTGGTTACTACGGTGCCTAGCAAGTAGTAAGTGCTCAGTACGTGTCAGCAGTTATTATTATTATACAGTTAACTTTGATGTCCTCCTCACCAGCTTAGTCAGCAACTCCACAAGGGCATCCAGCAGTCAGACCAGCCCCACACAAGGGATGTGTATCAAAGAATGCTGCCATGTAGGGCTAGGTTGGGCCACCTTTAGGAGTGAGGGGACGGGGTTCAGTTTGGGCTTCCCACTGTGGGTCAGAAGGGCTGTGACTAATTGGCTTGTGGGGGAGGCAGCCAGGGTAGGGTGTGGCTGGGAAATCATATGGAAAGGGGAACAGCTGGGAGAACTGGGCCTATGAAGCCAAGGTAATGGGAGGCTGGGGGGCAGGGGAGGGGCACAGCCCATCTCTGTCTTCAGCTCTATCAGTGGCCATGGCCTGCCATCCTAGAGGACAAAACCAAGCGCTGTGGGTTGTCGCATGGGGGAAGATAGCTATTTGGCATAAGAAAGGCATTTCTCACAGGCAGAGCTATTCTCAAATGATAAAGGCTGCCCCTGAGGGAGTGAGTCCCCTTCCCTGGGGTAAGTGTCTGGGCTGGCTGGCTGCCTTGACAGATGGACAAGGGACCTCTATAGTCCCTTCTGGAGCTGGTGTCTGACTTCTCAGTGAGCAAGCTGGGCCTCAAGACTGACCCTCCTTCACTGGAGCTTCCGACTTCACTCCCAAGTCACACAACCCCAGGCCAACAGCAGAGGAGCTGCGGGCCATTTTAAAATGCTTGCAGACCCCCGGCATCCTTCCTTCTGGGAGCCATGCCCCAAATCATATCAAACATATTAAAATGTACATACATCCCACAGTAAACATATACGTAATTTTTGCTATAAAAATATTTGAAGGAATTACCATACCTGTGCGCTTGATATGATCTGACTATGAGTAACTCATTTTAGTTTACGATTCGCTATGATTTCTTGGCAATCACCATGCCTGTGTGGGAATTCTGGCCAAGTGAGAAAAACCTAACCTATCAATTGTTTTCAAAGGTGGTAACATTATTATGATTGCTATGAAGTTGACAGAATGTTACACTTTGTAGACATTGAATTGGATGTTTATTTTTATTTTCTCTTTTTGGGTTTTGGCGCCAATACATTTTTTTTTAGGCCTCAAACAGTTCATGGATGCCTGAAAAGCTGGTGGGCCCAGGCGCCAACAGTACCTAAGGGATAAACTGGTCTGACCTCTGCCCGGCTCTTAAGAGGATGCTCAGACACAGGCCCTGAGACCCCAATCAGATGGGCAAAGTGTGGAGGCCTCAAAGCCGGAAGTAACATCTTAGCAGCAGCCCCTGGCACGCCCTGAGTTGCTGCCCTCTCCCTCCAGCCCCTTTCCCCACACCCACCTCTTAACCAAGGAGAAGCAGCCCAAGTCTTCTAAGACTCCCCAGCACCTCAGGGGTCAACCCCAATATCCTCCCGACCCTCCAGACCTCCTCAGTTCTTCCCCAACCCTCCCCTACCCACCTACCCAGAACTCTACCAAGGCCACTCTGGATACTGGTTATTTCAGGAATAAACCCTGCTGGGTCTAACTCCCAAACTCCTAGGGTCGTGTGGATTCCTTCTAGGAGCTGAGCTGAAGGGGGCCGGGTGATAGGGCTTTACCTCATCTCTCTCAGCACCTCCCCCCATCTTTGATTTAGACAACTTGTATAGTTTATGTAAAGTGCTAAGCAAATGTCTCTTCAATTACCCCCGTTCTACATGGAAATTTTGGAGCTGCTTCTGGTGGGCCCAGCTTTACACAGCCTTGTATACCTCTCCTGTGTCTAGTACGGTGGGGGGTGCTTGGTGCCGGAGGGTCTAGCCTGAATGCCCACGTGAGCCACTGCGTCGAGCCTCACAGGAACCCAGTGACCAGAAGGAAGTGGCCAACTGAGGAGGAAGTGGCCAATGTTTACCAAAAAGGGGAAATGTGGGCAATGAACTTGCTGCCGCATGGCCAGCCTCTAGACAATCTCCAGGGGAATGCAGAGCCAGTGACTCATCCTAGGCCAGCTTCCCCAGAGAGGGTGGGGCGAGCCTCTGAAGAAGCACCCAGCTACACACTGCCTTTGCATTTGTCAGATCCCAGGGAGAGAGACGTGGCCAACATGCCTACCTGCCACGGGAGGAGCTCGCTGTCCCATGAGGGGGCCCAGAGAGGAAAACAGACATTACTACATGGCATGCTGTGTGAACTTGGGCACGTCTATGCCCCGTCTTGATCTGAGAGGGTGGATCTCTAGATGATCTCCAAAGGCCCTGGCCCTGCCTGCTCTGAGATGAATCAGCGGCCTGAGGCACAGCTGTGAAGGCCTGTGCTCATTCTTCCTACAGCTCCTCAGCCTGGTAGAGCCACTGCTTTCAAGCCTCCATGCTCAAGGCCTCTTGACTTTCCTAGCCAAGGCCACGGACCTGTACCTTCCTCTCAGGCCTCCGCTCCATCCTGTGGTTAGTGAGAGCATTACCACTTTGGTAACATCTGCCTCTTCCCTGTGCCCTGCTGGAGAAGCGGCCCCAACCGCCATCACCCACTCCCCAAATGGCACAAATAGAGGACTTCAATCCCTGAGGCAGAGTACAGGCAGAGATGGCTCAGTTGTTTGGGGGGTGGGAGGCACAGTGCAGTCTTGGTAGGGTCTTGCTAAATCCAGAGCACGTACAGAGGAAGTTGGCCTGGCTGGGATGGGGAGGTTGGAGGGAGTTCTAATTGGGGCCAGAGCATTGGCGGGCTGGGGGAGCTGCAGGGAGGAGCAGGCAGTCCTCAGAGCAGAGGCCACTTTAAGCCTAACAAGCAGCTTTGGCATGGCGGCCCTCGCCAGGGAGAGGGCTTGCCATGCGCTTCTGCACTGTCCCACAAGGGGGCATCCCATACCACGCTGCCAGCCCCAATAGGGGACAGTGGTGAGAGCAATGGGGAGGGTGGTGGGAGTGATGGGCTGGGCCTTTGGGGAGTTTCCAAAATAAGATTAACTATTCTGGAAGCTGTTGGAGCCCTGGTGGCATAGTGGTTAAGAGCATGGCTGCTAACCAAAAGGTCAGCAGTTGAAATCCACCAGCCGCTCCTTGGAAACCCTGTGGAGCAGTTCTACTCTGTCCTGTATGGTCGCCATGAGTCGGAACTGACTCGATGGCACCTAACAACAACAGTGCTGGAAGAGCAGGCTGTGACACCTTAGACCAGTCATCAGCCTTCCTGTACCTCAGTTTTCTCATCTGTGGAACGGGGCATAATAATAGCATTTACCTCCTAGAGCTGTTGTGAGGCTTAAATGAGATTATAAAAGCAAAGCACTTGGCATAGTCCCTGACACAAGGTTAATCCTCAGTATGGGAGTTAATTCACT